GGTGAGACAAGAGCCTATCAAAACCTTGCCCTGTGGCTCATCTTTGTGTAGTCATATTTATTTTTTTCTGTTCAGAACATATGATGCATTCTCCACCTTCTATGTTGGCTCTGATGGACGAATACATAGGCATAAAGTTGAAAAGGTGAGGTTTGCTTGCAACTCCATATTTTCAGAATATCCTTGTTTTCCATATTTTTTTTAGAAATTAAATAGGAAAATAGTAAAACAAAATGTTTTTTTTTATTTTCCTACAAAGTGATCGTGAAAGAAATGTCCAAATCATATTACACTCCCGTTTAAATGTTTGGGGTCAGTACTTTTTTTGCATTAAAAACTTTTCCCCCATTAACTTTAACACCGATGGATATTTCAATGTGCTTTCCCTCATTTTGAACAGATAAATGTTTCATTTTCTAGCTTCAGAATTATTTCAGTAAACACTGCTGATGGGGATTAGAAGTGAAAAAGGGGCGACAGTTATGTTTTAATGCACTCTGTGAAAAACCTGGAAAGAGATGTGAGTGAGGATTTGGAGCTAAAAATAGGAGAGCAGACCACATCTGCACAGTGTGTTGTCTTTTTCATATTAATACAGCGAAATTCAAAGAAAAAGAAAGCTAGCGGACTAAAAAGAGATTTTGTCACAGATATTCCTTTAAGACTGTCACATTAAAACCGCAAGATTTATATTATTTTCCTGACAGATAAAAATATAATGGAGAATTATGGAAAATGTACAGCTCATTCAATCAAACAGACAAATAAGGATTATTTGTAGTGCAGCCTTATTATTTGAAATGATTTAAGTCATTTTGAGTGGAAGCTCCCTAAACTGGAAGTACCACCCGTAATGTAGTAGACTCGTTTGGAAAAAGGAGATACTGAAAGCTGAAAAAATGCTTTTCAATCACACAATATCAGAACATATGGAGCAAGATTTTAGATCAGTGAGATTTTACTTTGGGCAGAGCTACCCAGAAATCCAAGTTATCAGAAAAATGGTTAAAAGGTGAGTTAACAGTTTTTATATCATTTAACGCTTGTCACTTAACTATGGATATCTTCAACCTATTTGACTCAAAGGACACCATAATCCAACACACAATTCAAAAGGCCATGTAGGCTGAGACATTTCTGGTACTTCTGCTGTACTTAAAACAGCTTCTTTTCAAAACAAATATTCAATTATTTCAACAAAATTCATTTTGTGATTCCATAAGTTTCAAGAACTGTATGTTTTTCAATAAAAACAATAGTTATTAAGGACGGGAAAAATAAATATTTTCGTTTCATTTTACATCTTTTATGTGTTTTTTTTAACACTTTAATTTAGATTAGAGTTAGATTATTAGTATATTAATAATAATGTATTAATTTAATTATATTTAAAGGGATATTTAACCCCCCAAAAATGAAAAATTTCATTATTTACTTGCCCTCAGTTGTTCCAAATCTGTAGTTTTTTTTTTTTATTGATTTTTTTTCCTGATGAACACAAAAGAAGATATTTTGAAGAATGTTGCTGCTGGTCCCCATTTACGTTCACGGTATGGAAAAAATAAAATACTGTGGAAGTCAATGGGGACCAGCAACTGTTTGGTTACCAAATTCTTCACAATATCTTCTTTTATGTTCTACAGAAGAAAGAAACTCATACAGGTTTGGAACAGCCTGAGGCTGAGTAAAGGACAATTTTCATTTTTGGGTGAACTGTCCCTTTAAGTAATCCTGCGGCCCCCTTGGACATCTACTGAGGCTCTCTGATTGAAAAACAACGCTTGATCATTTCACTCTGGTTTAACCTTAGTGTTTATCTATGTTGGTAGGTTATGGAGACTCATCCTCCCTTGCTGCCCAAAGTGACTTCAGTGCTGGCCGGGGCTCTGGTGGCGCTGGGCATTCAGGAACACCGGCCCGCCCTCAACCTGCTCCCACTCCTGCTGTCTTCCCTCCGACAGCCCCAAGCCTGAGCCGCAGAGCGTGGATGCGTTTGGTCACACCATTAAAAAGACTGAAAAAGATGCAGCGCTGTATTGTGTGGGTTGAGTGAATGAGATATTGGTAACCAGTTTTTTGGGGGTAAATCCGCAGGAACAAGAACAAACGAGTTAAAACTGTTCTCACTTGAAACAATCTTTGTGCGCTCTTTAATTTCCATTGTTTGAATATCACCAAACTGGTATGAATCGTAACAGGTTTCAGAGACTAATACATGAGGGCATCACTAACTAGGAAGTTAACTAACGCACAACTCTTTAACAAACAGGTTTTGATGTCCCAGTACATTACTGTACAGGTATATTCAATGCCATCTGTAAATACATTCAGGCAGCTCGGCTGTAAAACTGGCGTTTGAAGCACATGCCAGATAAAAGGTGAAGATGGTTCAGCTCACATTCACAGTAATAAATCAACAGAAAGATTGGTCCTGATTTTTAAGTCTTGATCAGCTTACATTGTAATAATTCATTATATATATTTTTTGTATTTATATGTTAATTGGAGTTTTCATCAGTTGCATTGGTTTAAATGTTGTAGAGGAAGGTGCCTGAAAACCAGCTGTTTCCTTTAGTAGCAGAACTTAATGAATGTCTTTAGAGTTGCTGCCTGTTTGGTGACCTTTAAGGGAAAGTAATGCCAGGGACTGCCTTTGAGTGTAGAGAGTTTAGTTTCCTGTCTGGACTTGTTCTTGTTTGCCCATACCTTCCTTATTTGAATTGTTTTCAATGTGCAAGACACATGGTATAAGTCCCTCAGCCAATATGGCTCCCTGCATAAATACATTGCCAAATCTGCTCTAGTCTTGCCCTGCCGTCCATGTAACTTAAGTCCACACTTATTCGAAAGACCCATGCTTTCAATTCTTTTCCCATTGAAATATGTTCAGAAGTGTATTTGCATCTGCAAAGCAACGCGTGGGTTATTTTTCTCCAGGTTAATTGGTCACTTTAGCTCAGTAATGACTGGCAGTGCATTTGGTGTGGTAACACATGCTCTCCTCCCACAGTCTGTTTTAACAAGAACCGTTTCAACTGCGTGAGCTTCCTGTGGTAAAGACATAGACCAGACACTTTAATGGACTTCCTGTGTCCCAAAGCAGTCAGAACACATCTGTCTCAAATGCTTGCGCTTTTAAATGGACAATAAAAGCATGAAACGCTGTTCACTCCACGATCTGTGCAATTCAAATCCGAAAGGTCAGAACCTGTTAAAGCAATTGTTCTGGTGGTTAATTCTGCGCTAATTACCCAAAAACCTGTGTGAATGTGTTGTGAGACAAATAAATGCATACTGACCGATATTTTTGGTCTCTGTTCTTCTCTCTTGTCTACTACCATTTAGATTTAGATTTTCTGCTAAATAATTTTTAATTTGTTGCATATAAGGTACAATATATGTTTTTTTAATTAAATTTTTTTGCGGTTCAAATAGGACTTTAAACTTTAATCATGGTTTCCACATGTATATTAAGCAGCCCATCTGTTTTCAACATTCAGCATGTTAGAATGATTTTTGAAGGATCATGCGACTCTGAAGACTGGCGTAATGGCAGCTTTGCGTCACAAGAATAAATTACATTTTACAGTTATTTTAGACTGTAATAACATTTCATAATTTTACAGCTTTTACTGTAATTTTGATTAATTAATGCAGCCTTGGTAAGCATAAGAGACATTTCAAAAACATTACAAATTCTTAACCCTAAACTTTTGAATGATAGAAAATGTTTTATTAAAATGTTCCATTTTATATTGGCATTTTTTCAGCCATGTCTACTAAAGTTTGACTTACTTGAATAAAGTTTAAATCGTATTAATTAAATATGGGTAACAGGGTTGTAAATTTACCATAAATGAAATTGCTCAGCTAGCAATTTAGGAACCAAATGTTGGTTTGTAGTTATTGATACAAAATTATATATTTTTTTCTTTAGTCGAAGGGTTGAGACAATATGAAAATGTAATTTATGCAAATATTGTTTCCCTCCAAATTATCTTACCTCCTGGGCATCATAGTGTTTTAGCTTGAAAAAAAAAAGGAAGTAATGAGATTATTTGTGCAATGTGCCATTACCACATAAAAGTCATTGTTTTTTTTGTTGTTTTTTTAAACTAAACAGCAAAGGTGTTCCGTGGCCGAACATATAGAGGCAGACACAGCGGTTTCTTTAAAACTAGAAGTAATTCTAGACTTGGACCATTTTATTTTGTAACGGTCACATTCATGAACAACATGATGGAGCCAACAAGATGTTTTTGGCATGCAAGAAATATTTACAACCAACAGCTCTATGGCATCACTATGACTAAAACACTTCCAGTCCTCAGTGACGAATGTGCAGTGCTGTATATCTAATCATATGTAACATGTCTGGAGCTTGTAAACATCAATCTTGGCATCTCCTTTATCTACACATCGAGCAGGTCAAGCTGGAACGAATGAGGTTTTCTTCATATATACGTGCCTGTAATACAACTGCTATTATTGTCATTATTAAAACAACTTATTACAACAATATACAGCTAATTTACAATGGACAGGAGCATATATGAATCCTGTCAAGAGTAAAACTCACTGACTGTTTTGACATCTGCAAAGAATATAAGATGCTGTTTCCCCACAGATGGACGCCACATAAGGGGGGGGGGGGGGGATTCTCCCC